TTGCATGCAGTGTGAATTTTTTACCACAAATTGTGGGGCATTTTGTGAAAGACATTCTCTGTTGACTAGCTTGATACATAAAAGGACTCACTGCAGAGACTCTTTCTTCCTTGCTAGCTTTCCATTTTCTTCTTAATTTTGAAAGAAAGTATTGAGACAAGCTGACTATCAAGGAAAAAGTGTAAAATTAAAAAAGGCTGTCATAAATAAAAAAGCAGACATGTTTCTGTCCTTCTCAGAGAAGAGAAGCAATAGTGACATCACGTTGCTCACAGATTCTTGCAGCATAATAAAATACCACTTTTGGCTTAGGAAATACAATTCAGAGATGGAGCTGCCTGTTACTTTGGTTTGTTCTGGCAAATTCTAATAGGTTTAGAGTTTTTCTGTGAGTGCTCTTTGAATGCAGAGAAGGGACAGGACAGTCCCATTGTTCAGCTTTTGGTTGAGTCCATCTGCTCCAAGATATTGGTTTATAAACTGAGGTTCTTGCAGTGCACTTATCCTCAAGCTCATTTGTTGTGGAAGTGCTGCCAGCCCAAACAACTGGGGAAATTACAAGAGCTTTCAAGGTGTTAGAGGTGGGGAGCAGCCTGAGGGGTCTGAATGAGATGCTTTCCCAGAATATGAATCCCCAAGGTCTCCCCAGCTGCCTGTGCTGAGCCCATTTTCCACAAGATGCAAGAGGAAAGAAAGGTGTTTTCCATGGGCAGAGTGTGCCCTGATGGAGTACAGATCAAAAAAAGCTTGCTGATATGCTTATGTTTGCCAGAATCAGGCCAGATGTTTGACTAACTCTGCATGTGGTGTATCCCACTGAAAGAGACTGCTCATAAAAGAAAAGAACATTCCTTAGGATGTTTTCTTTTAATTCTTGTCTTTCTGGCCATGTATCATCAGTGAGAAATGGGCATTGAGTGGTGATGGTGGTCCCAACTCAGGGAAGAGCTGCTCCTCATATGGAGGGATAGGCACTGTTGGCAGAAGTACATGGACAAACAGAGAGCAAAGATTTAAGCTTTGGGCACACCAGTAACAGAGGCCAGTTTGATGGCTTAGATGGTCCTGGAGAAAGTGCTATGAGATTTAACTATCCCAGCAAGTATTTCATCCCATGGCCTGTTCCCCAATACTCAGCCCTTGCTGGCCATGCTACAAGTGAGAAGTCATTTTCCAGAGCCTGATTCTTTTTATGGAGACCCAGGCTGTGGGTCTCTGACCCATGTGAATGGCCATAAATCAGTTTTTGGGTCTTGCTGCTGCTGGATTAATGGACCTGGGAGTGTCAAACTTGAGAGACTTTTATGGGGAGCGGAGATGGAGAATGTCTTGTTGATAGATGGCTCAAAACACTCTTCTTCACACCAGATTTTGTTCTCAGTCACACTCCAGAAATGTCTGTTCTTTTGAACCTGGTGGATACTGTGCACTTAAAAGCCAGAGAAATTAAAGAGGATGAATCTGCAGAGCATTTACAGCTAGTGAATACAAGTACAATGCCTTCCAGTGATATGGCAGAGAGCACCTCTGAAGGTTTTTTAGGGCTTTTTTCCCCCCTCATTTCAACCCAAAAGAAAAGGGTTTTGTTTCAGAAAACAAAGAGAAAAAGAAGAGGATGTTGGTGATATGGACACAAAGAGAGGGCATGTGTGGGAGATGTAGGTCCAAGACCTGAGGGAATTTGAGCCCCTCTCTCATCTCTGGAAATGTGTTCCCATCACCGTGTTCCGGGTCAGCCTGGGGTCAGATGCTGCTGGTTTTTCTGATGAGGCTGTTACACCTCACTTATAGGCAGCCAGGCTGGCAGGGGAGATGCTGTGTTGGCTGTGCAAGGCTCAGGGCCATTCCTGCAGCAATGAGCTGATCCATGAGCTCCAGGACACTTCCAGCAGCAAATTTCAATAGGGCCCATAAGACAGAAGCTGCCTTCCCAGACTGCATCCTATTGCAGCTTGAAATTGTTCTGTTATTGAACATACATCCTTCAAGTGCTGATCAAAGAAACCCCCACGGCAGAGAAACGTTATTGATTCCTTATGTAAAACCTCACCCTGCTCATGGCCCTCCCTGAGCCTGCAAAGGCAGAGTGGCCAGGAATGTTACAGTGCCAGTGTTTGTGTGGGAAAGGTGTTAATTCATCCCTGTGCATGTAAACACTTTTCTGCCTGAGGAATTGGTAACGTGGGTTGCACAACCTGAGTGAGGAGCTTGCTGCCAAGAAGAACTTGGGGGAAGGAGGGAAACATGGAGCTAAGATCTGTCCTACCTGGTGAGGTCTGGTGTGAATTTCGTGAGCTCAGAGCCAGTTCTGCTTTCTGGTTTAGCTCTGCTGAAGGAAGGTGCTGAAGCTTTGCAGAAGCAGCCTGTGCAGATCAGCAGGTGGGGTGACAGGGCTCTTCCAGTCGCCTTAAAAAAACTAATAAATCTTTCTTGTCATGGGCCATATCTCTAAGGTATGCTAAAGCAAAAGGATGTATAGCTTTTCTAAGTGGACTGGATTTTGTCTCAGGCCCTGTTTGCAGTGTTGGTGTATATAAGGACTCAGTGTACAGCTTTAGTGCAAAAACTTACTCCTTTTTTTATTTTTTTGTGCATAACCAAGAACTCCTTGGTGAAATACCCACATTCCAGGCTGTATTTTTGTTGTCAAAGTCACATTGTCTGTGGCTAGATTACAAAGATTTGGCTGCTGCATTTTTTTCTGTTGTAGGTGGTATTGTTCATGCAGTGGTGGTGATCCAGTGCTGTGCACATGTGTCTTTAAGGCCTCTCACTTTAAAGTTTGACCTTTGGAAGGCATGCTTCTTTTCCAGTTTCTGTATTTGTTTCAGTATTATCTTTTGTCCGCTGTTACAGAATTAAGTGGTGGTTCCTAATATTTTCCTGAAGAAGAAATGAAAAATCCTATTAAGCAGCAGCAGCAGCCTTTTCTCTTAGTTCAGTAATTGAAAGGAGGGAGGTGTCACCAGCAAGTGCAGCCACTGGATATTCTTTCAAAGCAGTAATTTTTTGTCTGGTGCCTTAATTCTTTTCAATGTTTGAGTCAGGAAAAATTGCCAAAATTTAAATTATGACTAGCATACAGTACAGATTATTGATAGTGGATATAGTGGTTCCATAGGTGGTAGCCTTGCAGACTTTCTTATTCTGCTCATTTGTTTAACACACCTCAGCACTCTCTGTCCATCATCCTGTCATCTCTCCCTGAAGAACTACAGACATGAGCAATTTTTTGGTAATATTTACAGTTTGGGGGGGAACACTAGCTAGAAACCAAATATTGCTAAAGTGTGGCCGTGTGAGAGTTTGTATAGAAAGAACATGATATCTACAATTGCCATGCTATTTTCTTGTGATGAATTTATGCTGTATTGCTAAGTCTTGCTCATCACACATGTTGGAGTGCTTTAGTTGGTCTATGTTAGGGCAGCTGTGAGTTAAATATTTTATCAAAACTAGAGAAATTCTCAAAACCAGGCTGCTGTATGGATGCAAGTTGCTCTTTGTGGTTGTGTTCTGTTGCTATAAATTCTTTTGATGTTTGTAAAGTTTTGCCCCAGCTGGATATGCTATTTTCTCCATCCTAGAAACTGCAAGTAAAGAAAAAAAAGCAGAGATACAGTGAATAAACAAGTTTTGCAATAAAGGGGTATTTTTAGCTGGGTATTTCATATTGTTTCTCCTTGGTCAAACCTCTTCCATGGTTTGAGAGGGTTAGCAATGCAATTTATTCATTTTTCTCCAAGGGAGAGGCTGCATTTAATATGTGTTCTCCAGGATACCCTGTTAAAATATTAGGCAATAAAATCCTTGACTGTACAGTAGTTGCAGTTATAATTTCCCCCAGGTAGAGGAAACTCTGTGATTTATTATTGTTCAAGTTTGTTCGGGTTGGCGTGGTTGTGGCAGTGTAAAAAGATCTGCTTTGCTCCAGCCTCTGTGTGTGTGTGTTGGTGTCCCAGCTCCCCTCCCTGAGCAGCATCTCATTCCTAAAACTGCCTCACTCCAGACATGCACATCACTCTCCCACAGGGGAACTCACACTGCTCCCTCCTGGGATGTGAATTTTGTAATTCCCTGCATACAAACATCAGTGCCAGCAGCCCTGAGGAAGACACTCGTGGTGTTGAATCCACAGTGCAAGAGCCTGCTTGGTGGCTTCCTATCTGTCTGGAGTCTAAAATTTAAAACACTCAGCAAACTCTGTGTTACTAGAGATGATCTCCTCAGTCTGTGCATCAAAATAAGCTGAAAATGTAAGAAATGATCCCTGGGGAAGTCTGAGAAAGTGGCTTTCCTCAGCCTGAAAATGGAGGGTGAGAACATGAATTCCTTTTCCTTTTCCTTTTCCTTTTCCTTTTCCTTTTCCTTTTCCTTCCCTCCCCTTTCCCCTTCTCCCAGCACAGATATTTGTGATAATTGTTAAGGATGTGGCAGCTGGAGAACCTTGCTTCAGCTTCACTTTTTTAGGCAAGATTGGTGTGTAGGAAGAGGAAAGGCAAACATTTCCCCTTTGCCTTTTTTGTCTTTGGTTGGAAGGAATGATTTTGCTTGAGATGATATTTTATTTTTTCTTAAACTAAACCTCTGAGAAGTCATATTGCATCTTCCAAACAAACTGCTGAACTCAACTGCTTTTACCAAACGCATGCAGAATTTTCCCCTCAGGATCCTTGGAGGCCCTGGAGTGCCTGCCTTGCAAAACCTTGGGCTGTGAGCAGAGTCACTCCAGAGTAATTTCCATAGGATACCTTCAGCCAGAGTGCTTACGTGTATTTATAAGAACATTCACACACATTTAACACATCAGATTCTCTCCTGGTCTGTTACTGCGCACACCAGGCAGAAGGGAGAATAACCAAGGTATCCAAAGAGCTGCTGCCCAGCTGGTAAACTCTGAGAAAACCCCAAACCCTCCAAGAGGCACAGACAGGAGCAGTTTTTATCTCTGGCTTTCCTGGCCCTGAATACCCATGGTTGTCTCTTTGTGCTCATTTCAGATGCCTCAGGAACAGTACCCGCACCGGAGCACCATGCAGACCTCGGAAGGACCCCAGGTATACAAAGTGGGGATTTATGGCTGGAGGAAGAGGTGCCTCTATTTCTTTGTGCTGCTCCTAATGATTTTAATCCTGGTGAACCTTGCTATGACCATCTGGATTCTGAAGGTTATGAACTTCACAATTGTAAGTAGGGGTTACCTGGAAGGTCTGGGGAAGATGAGGGAGGGTGCTGGTCTTTCTGCTGAGCATGGCTTCAGATACAGCTTCAATAATGGGTGTTTCATTGCCATGGACAGTCCTTTCACAGAGAGGAACAAATTTACACTATGATCCTCTCTTTCTGCTGGATATTGCCAAGCTGAGGAATCAGCTCAGCACTGCAAATCGTGTTCCTCTTATCTGCTGTATATGTATATATACATGTATTTATGTAAACAATATGCACCACCCATCCTCAATTTTCAATTATAAAGTGTTTTAAAATTAGCAAAACCAGTTATTTTGGACTTGGATGTGGAATGTGTTTGAGCTTTTCTCTTACACTTCTTCTGCTTTTCCATGTGACCAGCAAGACAAGAATCTTGATTTGCTTTTTTTCTTTGGGAAAATTCATGTTGATTTAGTTTTCAAAGCATCATGAAATGAAATAGAATTTACAGGGTATCTCCCTGGCTGTGGTACTTAGGTGGAGCATGTCCTTATCCTTGTATTGCTGTGCTTGGTGCACATCAGTCCTGGAGCAGCTCCCCCTTGCTGCTCAGACTCCCTGGCCAGGGTTAGCTTTCCCCTTCCAGGGCTTGTGAGCCTTTATGTATGGCATATCCTTGTTTTTCACTAGATAATTTGGCCAGGCAGAGTGAAAATGAAGTTATCAGTCACCTCTTCTGCAAAGTAGTCATTGCCACCTTGTTCAGATGAGATTATCCATTTTAAGATTGTTTGAATCTTCAGGAGAAACCAAGTCTGAAGCTTTAATCCTGGTTCTACTTCCCGAGGGAGCTGTAAAGCTACACTTCCCTAGACAACTTTCAAGGATCTTCCCAGCCAGGCTCTGATATGAGCAGAATGTTTCAAGTTTTTTTGGCATTTCTTCCTCTGCTTTGGTCTTGTGCAGTCCCGAACAGCTGTGGCCAGAATTATGTCATTAATGGGCCATGAGAAGTTGAATAAACAACCTCTGGCTTCCTGTACCCAGCAGATAAAATGCTGTGTCAGGGGAATGTGCAGTGTTCATTTTCTCTAACCAGGTTGCTGTCAAGGTGTGCAGAAGATTGCAGTGCCTGTGTGCATAGGAAGCAGGCAATTATAAAGCAGTAATCCACAAAAAGCTCCTGTGAGCAGGCAAAGAGTGGCCAAAGTGGAGCAATTAATGCTTAACCAGAGCAGTTGTTTAATCTTGTGAAATTGATGCTGTTTTGATACCCATTTCATATTCTTTAGATTAATGGAGGTGAGCAATAGATATTTCTGAGGTGGTGGTGAAGTTGATCATTCAACATGCAGGCAAGGCTGTGGGTATCAACCTGAGAACAAAACAAAAGGATTTCAATTTATCACTTTTCAGGGATACAGCTTTATTTCTTTTTAATAACATAACTTCAGTCCCATGCATTTTTGCTGATGGTGGTGGTCAGTCATTCTCTACAGGTTGCTTGGGAAGTCAGGTGAACATCTGTGCTCTTTCTCCACCTCTGCCCTCTCATGATGCACTGCATTTTGCAGGCCAGGTGCTCAAGTGCCACATCTAGAGATGTGTGCAGAAACCTCCCATTTCCAGCAGCTCTGTCCCCTCCATAGGATACAGACTGGTTTTTAGAGCTGTGCACTGATCTTCAATTTCTTGTCTGATTCTGTTTCCTTACTTGCCCTCGGATTACTGGGGATTATTCCAGAGTAAAGCATATTTGTGTATGGCTTAGTTAATTCATATCTACTAATGCTAGTGGATGATGAACAGCATTTGGTGATAAAAACACAGGTGGTGCTGCTGAGTCCTGCAGTGGGAGCAGCTTTATGGTTGTAGGCATGGCCACACTACTCAGGGTGAGTGTTTCTGGCACCGCCAGCTGGAAATAAATACAAGAACTGGGCATGTAAAATGTGAGTCTTGCCCCAGTGTGCGCCCATTCATCTCCTGGTCTCCTGCTGCTCCTGCAGCCTCAACAGCTGCTTTGGATCCTGCTCTGCAATCCCTCCTGCACCATTCCCTGAGGCTGGGAAAAACACTTGGCTAAGTGAGTTTTTAGAGGCAGACTTTTATCTCTAAATAACAAACGTAGGAAAATTATCAAATGAGCAGATGCAAATATGGAAAAATCTTTCATTTGTTCCTGTTCTGACATGGGGAGCTGAGAGTCCTTCTGGGGCAGGGGAATGATCTGAGTAGTCAGTGAGCAATAGCTGCTGCTTGACAGGTCTGAGTTACCCCAGTACTTGCAGAGCAGAAAGAAGAGGAAGGTTTGTGTTTCTGTTCTTCTGGAAAATGGAATATTTCTAGCATCTTCCTACCCCTGAGCTCTCCTTCCAGAACCCGAGTCTGTTCAACTCCACAGAACAGTCCTGGCTCTTACCAGAATTTAATGATGCTCATTATAGCCAATAAGTGCTCACAGTATTTTAATGAGCACAGCAAACCTGCTCAGGAAAACTCAGGGGTGTTTTAAATGCTGATAGTGGGGAGTGGAGAAGGGGGAAAGAGATGAAACAAGACAATCTCAGGATACCAAAACACCTCCTCATGCTTGCTGTGGCAGTATCCATCCACTCCAATTCCTTGTCCAGCCCTGGCCTCCTGGCTTGTGCTCCTGGAGACAACTCCTGTGAAACCAAGCCATAAACTTCCAATCAGTGGATGTTAGCAAGCAAGCATCACTAACTAATTCTAGGTTTTGCTTTTATTTTAATGTTCAAGGGTTAAACAAATGTATATGTGGGCTGTTGCCTCTTACACAGGGCTGTCAAAGCAGTGTCACACCTGTGTGGGGACAGCTGGTCACTGTCTGCTCTGTCCTCTGGCACAATCATTCATTTCTCATGTACTGTTTGATACTCTATTTGTTTTAAATGCCTTTATCCAGCACAGGCTGTGTAAAAAACAGGCCTAGAGGGGACCTCAAATGTCACCTGCCTGTCCCATGGCCAGGTCCATTTGCTGTGCTCATTCACATCAGGGCTGAGCTGCTCTGGGGCTGCAGGGAGCTCTGGCCAGGCTGCTGCCTCTAAACCTTGCTTGGATTTTTAAGCCACACCACAGAATGAATCTGGACCAAAGCCACCAATGTGGTTGAAACCCAAATGTACCCTGAAGGTGGCCTAACCTAATGGAGGTAAAAACCACCATGCAGCACTCAACTTTCCAGTGGTACTTAGAGAGTGCCCTGCTTCATTCAGATCTTGGACAAGGCTGGTATTAGGTCTGTGGTTTGCACATTCTGGGCTTGGGGAAGGGCTGTTAGTGCCTGTGGGTTGTGTGTGTGACTGAACACTCAGTGTGCGGGTCCCACACGGCCACAGCTGCATCCTGCAGTCACACCAATGTGGTACAGGGCCCACCTGCAGCTGGGGAGGGAAACCTGCTGTGGTGGGCTCAGCCCCCAGCTGTGGTGATGATAATGTCCAGCTGTGGCAGTCTAAACCTCCAGCTGTGCTGCTCTAAACCTCCAGCTGTGCTGCTCTAAACCTCCAGCTGATGCAGGCTCAACCTCGAGCTGCCCAGAGCTTGGCTGAGGTGGGCACAGCCCCTGCATGAGTTTGTGAGTCCCAACTTAATTATGAAGCTGGAATGAGAGCTCTTAACAACCTCCTCTTTCTGGTCCACCTGCATTAGCAGCCCATGATGCAGCTCTAGCAGCACCATTGCCTGTGACTGTGCATATATTTTATGCTGCACACCAGTGATGTGCTGGGGGTCTCTATTTCACCTATTGCTAGTGAGCTTAAAGCATTTTTTAAAATGCTTCCTGATGTATTAGTTTCTGGATATTACAAGAAAAGATGTACTTACATAGACACAGTAAACCAATATCCTTATTTTAAGCAGTCCAAAGTTAGAAAGCTCAGATAATGGGCAATGACAGTGCACTGACCTCTTTGCACAAGGGTAGCACACAATGGCTGGTATTTTAAATGGTGCTAGGAGTCTGAAGCAGTCTCCATTAGTACCCCTTTATAGCCTGTTAGGCAGCAGGCAGAGCTTTAAACAGGAGAGATGGGGACTGTGTCCTGTTGTGGCTGCATTTGAATGTCACACACCCACCTACTTGTCTGCCCATCAAACCATAGAGGACCTTTACTTTTCCTTTGATTTTCCCAGTCTTCCTATTGCTTGTTATGGATTGTATTTTTTGGTAGTAGGAGCTGTTTGCATATGTAGTCATATACTGGCAGGCTCTACTGGACTTTGAACTGTAATAAATAGAAAATAATAATATTTTTCCCCAATCAGCCTGCAAGTCTTGAAATTTCTGGAGAGCTGTCTTCTAAGAATCATCTAAAGTAAAGGCTTCAGATTAGTTTTGTAAATAAAATATTCTGCAGCTTGGTATTCAGGAGCCACACTTTGCATGTTCCTCCAGACTGGGAGAGCCCCATCCCTGGAGATGTTTACAGATGTGCAGCTGTGCTGGTTTGGGACAGGGTTTAGGGTGGAATTGGCAGTACTGGGTTAGTGGTTGGACTCAATGATCTTAGAGGTCTTTTCTGACCTAAATAATTCTGTGCCTGCATGTGCTGCTGAGGTTTTCATCCCTTAGCATGAAGTTCAGCCATATTTTATTATTTTAATTGAACAGGAACAAATTACTTCAATTGTTCAGTTTTTTCCCCCATTTTTTGCCTCAGGCTGCATTCATAGCTGAAGGGGTCTGGTTTAGCAAAGTTGAATGAAATGTTGGCAATTTAGAGAGACAAAATGCTGCTGTGGATGGCACAAATGCTAAATATCATGATTATCTTGCTTTCTTTATTAAAAGTTGCTAGGAAAAATGAGCTTTTAAAATTTGGTTATGAACAGTTATTTCCAATACAATTACTCCCTCTTGTGTGTAAACTACCTGCCACATTTCAATTACAGGAAAACAGTGGGGTAATAACACAGCAGTAAAGATGGATTAGAGTTAGGAAAGCTCATTGCCCTAGCTGGCAGGATTCTTCTATTAATGATTTAAAGGAATAGACTTTGTTCT